CCATGCACGACATTGCATCAGTGGACTGAACTCGAACCTAGCGCTAAGACGCGTCAAGAGAAGCAATCCAAAGTAAGAAGAAAAAAGTAATCAGATCTCTTAAGTCAAGGTACATCGATATCACACGACTGTCCAAGGGTTATCTTGATCAATGTGGAGACAAATCGGCCTGATCTCCTCGACTCTACGATACTGCTCAGCAGTACAGCATTTACAATTAACTTCCGTTAGGAATCCCGTGTAGCACTATAGCTTTGCCAATAACACGACGGCACGAAATCATGACGTTCGTCGGTTTAATCACTATGCAACTGTATCATGTTATGCAATCAATCTACAGGAGGGTAGTTGACTACAATGAAGTTGCTAGACACCAACAATGTGACAGTTAGCATACCAGAGTTACTTCAACCAAGGAAGAAACCTCTGATTAAGTGACCTGAACAATTGGTCGAATCCGATGTAGACATGACATGCGAGTATGCGTAGGAGAACGTCACATTAATGATCCCATATCCATTAACCACTGAGGAATATAGTGCATGTGCGATTCGTCTCAAAAAGGGTGTGAAACACCCTACTGTGAAATTATTCTGGCAAAGGAGAATGTGTCGGGGGACGATAACAACTACCCATTGAAGCGAGGCGAAGGGGAGCGCGGGCACTAATGTGAAAGCTGACAGAAACTGTACTGAGAAAGGTGTAGGTGAACCTCGAGAACCGAACAAGTGAATCATCCTAATACAACAGGACACCGTAAACGAGAGGGAATGGGTAGAAAAACTGCGAAAGGAAGCTTGGGAGTAAGTATTTAGAATATTCACACTTTGGAATTTGGAGGATTGTTGGGTAATTTAGCGGTGGACGTTACGTTGCCGGTCTAGGTAACTACCATGGAACTTGCAGTAGTAGCGTTGCCTGAATTGGCAACGGAACTTCTGCAACTAAAACAACGAGGTCGGAGGACACATCAATATCGTCAAACAGTAAGGTATTTAACTTGAAGAAACAAAACGAAATTCCACTAGATAAAATAAACGTGATGCACCTGAATCTCGGAGAAAGTAGCTCCACATCCAGAGCAGGAGAAAAAGCGGGGTGTACCCTCGCTTCCTGACTCCCTTGCTACATCCGTTGGCGTGTAGCGTAAGTGCAGTTCGATGGATCGGAAAAGAGCTGCCTCAACGCGTTTGGCATCTTTGTAATGCACACCAGAACGGATACGCATCCCCTCTGCGAAGTTGTGTCCTATCCGACGTTTCACTGAATCCGTCAGCCGACCGTAGTGTGAAAGGTTGTGCTCGATTTCGCTCTGCGCAAAATTGGAACAAGTAGAAATAGCAAATAAGAGCATTGTTGCGTGAGAAACCTGTGATGAGGATCCAGTGGTAAGAGAATCCATAGCAGTCGATCAGTAGAGCCGCGCACGAGGTGTGCAATCTTTACCGATGAGGCCGAATGAATGTAGTTGCTGCAAAGAATCAGTCAATTAAATCTATGGAGTCTAACTTTAGAAACGCATTGCCATGAAGCTGAATGACAGCACGTTTCAGGTGCTGCAATGAGGGCCAGCGGACAAAACTGAAGCCCACTAGACGGCGACTGAAACGACTGGTTATGAAACCCCAGCGACCGGTTGCATTTTGAAGGTATACATTCTAGGACTCTCGCTCATTCTCCAAGGATTTGAAACATATACCCACGGCTAATTCGCATCGAATCTTAAGGGAACAAAAAGGAAAGAAATAAGGTGTTTTACTAGAAGGAGTTGCTGCGAAGAGATCTCTTATCGATAATTCTCCTCAGGCATTTACAATTGTGAGAAAACTTGATACAACACGATAAACTATCTAAAGCTGCCGTAGTGAATGGTTAGCTCACAGATCAAAGGAAGATCAACGAGCCAATCGATAGATCAGTCAATGCAATCAGGTGGTAAACATCACGCGCTTTCACATCCCAAACACTGAAAGGCAAACAAAACAAGAAAGAAATGGTTGGTTTGGCGTCAAAGCTCCCAGTTAGTCCTGGGCATGGATAGGTATGGACGGTGTCAATCGTTCCGGCCAAAGCAACATGAGCGCTTGTACAAGCGTCCTCTGTTTGCATAACTCAGGTTGCAGCAGCGTGATAGCCATTGCTTCCGAAGTAGCCAACAGGAACACCCTGAGACCCTTTGGGTTGTATTTAGATATAGCATAAAGAAGTCTGAAAGCGTCATCGGTCCGAACATGATGCCTCATACTAATCAAGTGTTCAAGGACTGAGCTATGTACATTCTTAACTGTACAGTGCCGAAAAGAGGCGGAAGTGTGTTCCGCTATCCTCTTAAACAGACGCCTGGTCGTGTGTCCGAGGTACCTGACACAACAGACGCAGGTGAACTGATATACTACGAAAGATTCAGAACGAGCCGGGAGTCTGTCTTTGAGGCTTTTATTGATAAACGGAACAGTCTCGGCAAGAAGGTGGACTCTTGCAGCCGGATATGTTTGGTCCACAGCGAAGGACAGTTTTTTGTTCAGTAACTCGTAGGCGATATCTCCTTTGAAGGAAACCGAGGTGAAGACGTCTCTTTCATTTATCGTTGATATTTCTTTAGTTTGATCAGAAACAACTGTTTCTAAGCTTTGATTTGATTTGCTGGCGTTTGATATGCTAATTCTTACTTGCTTGCTTAGCTTGTTATCCATAACCCATTGTTAAGCCATCGATCGGGCTATTTAAACAACAAAGATATTTACCCCTAAAGCGATTTGACGTTTACTACACATGATTACTGCCGTGTAAACGTTTGAATCTGATATAAGTCTGCCGGAAAAACATACTTGCATCAGCACTAATTGACTTCTGTCGATGAAATGGGAATATTTGTTTTGCGAAAGAGCAGCAATGACGGTGATGCAGACAAAAAGTATTGCAATGATGCGAAAGATAGTGAAATACAATTGATTAGTTTAAAACGCCCGTTGGGTAAGTAGATTGTGAGACGAAATTCAAATCCAGACCTCGTTTTCTTTTCAGAAGGATCTTGGTCATTTCGGCCGCTGAAACAGCATTTGAAACTGGCAAATGTCACATATTGGCCGTCAACAGGGATACAGCACTCTACGATTGGCCGCATGCGGGTTTGCACCTTTCTGGTGAAGGCAGGAGAAACGCAGTTGCACCCCGAGGTGCAGTCCTTCTATGGTTATTTGAAGAGTGAGACAAGCACAGCACTAGTCGGGGAGTGCATGTCGCGAGAGAGCAGCGATCAACATTTACTGAAAGAATAGTTATGCTACATTTCTGCGGTACAGTGTACACCGAAGCTCATGGAAAATGACTTCTTCAGAACACAAAGAATGCATTAGTAACAACGAGTCCGTGCAGTGAGAATAGATGCCAAGAACGAGAATTGATGAGCCCGTCGATTCGGGGGCATTATTCAAAAAGATTGCGAATCTTAGGTGAATGCGGAATAGGAATAACCAGTGTAGGTCAGATATCTGAAGGTCATCAATACATTACTTAGTGTGACAAGTTCAAGCCGCTGAACAGTGCGGCGAAGGGTCTAAAACGATACCTAGTAGCTGTGTACAGCAGTGCACCTAAGGCAGAAAGGTATGCGATGAATCCGTAATGAAACATAGAGTCGGTAGCGATAGAAGAGCTTAAAAAGCAAAATAGTGAAGGTTCCAATTAGCATGTGAGGAGTAGAACGCGAACTGTGCAGGAACAATAGGCTTATTCAGTAGTAGTGAATTGATCTGAGGTAAAGTGGAGGGCAAAAAAGTGTAGAGTCTTTCAGATGATTCATCGAAGCTACAATCAGCTAAACGGCCACCACACACCATACAAGGTATAGATGACAGCTTCGTCCTATTGGGACTCGTCAATAGCACGCATTCGCGAGATCCTGCCGAAAAAACAAAGTTCTAAGCTCGTGGGTTTACAAATATAGCAGCAATGCAAATGAGCCATTCGGCGTACATGTTGGACAATGCAAGCCGCTTACTACTTAGGGAGGTCGGAAGTAACACTAGATGTACCGAGTGAGGCAGGCTGTTCCGAATGACTTCGGTAGACACTTCAGTGCTAAAAGAATCACAAACTGGCGAAAAGAATCACAGAGACTTACGGATAGCAGATGTCTTGTCACGGAGTGAAACACAACTTCTGTTCGTCCACTGTATATGTAACGTCTGCACAACAGACAAACGAATTTTTTCTCAGATCGAGCAATAAGCTTCGACCAATCTTGAGAGGTCCCGCGGACGGTAGAACGGGCTCCCAAAGGCCGTTCCGATCGCGGTGAGGACGGAAGACCCATCCTCCAGTTTTCAGAATCGACAGTGGAGACTACTGTAGATGCAGGAACAGCAGAGATTGCAGTCCCAGAATCGCGCAGAGTGCTCTCTGAACTGGTAGGGCTAGCAAGACTTTTATCATGCTTTATCATGCTGTCATTAGTCGGACCGGGGAAATTCTGTTGCAAAATCGTATCTGCCATTGATGACGGGACCGCCGTATCGGAGTGAGTAGCGGCATTAAGATGCAATGACGACGGTAAGTGTTGAAATTCGTCTTCCGAGTCGCTCGTACTTTGAGAAGCCTCACTTCCAAGCCGTTCGAGTATGACGGATTGGGACAATATGGCACAGGTCTTGAAACGAAGAAGAGTTGAACAAGATGATGATACTTAGGAAGCAGTAGCCTCTTCACATCAATCTAAACAACGATAACAGATAAGCATCAGAACATCACAAATACTGGATTGTGTCCGAACATGCTTATATATATACATATATGTATATATATGTATATATATGTATATATATATATATATATATATATATATATATATATATATATATGGCTGGTGGCATCCGGTTTCGGATTTGCCTGTCACTGTGGCCAGCCACAAGACGCCTGCGCCTACAGAGGGACCACGGGTGGCTTGCGCTGCACCACCCACAGCTACAGCCACACACCCCCATATCCAATGTAAACCCGAAGGAATAAAACCAGGAGGCAAATGAATGGGAACCACGTTTCATAAACGGAACCGACCCACACTCCATCACTGGCAAACACAAGCACGCTGTATTTGGGGAATCAATCGCACACAAGGCAGTCGTTGGAACGTAGTCCGCTCCACACTGAGTGCATGGAACCACTCTTCGAACCTAGCACGACCACAAGGACCGTGCACCCCATAACCCCCCAGCAACGACTAACTGTCTCCTGGAAGTAATGGGTAATAGACAGGTAGGCACCTAGTCAACATACACATCCAGCGCAGCCATACCCGGGATTTCAAACAACAGCCAATCATTCGAATTGCCGATATCAAATCAAAGGTATCGAGTAAAGTAAAGGCATATGACGATATAAATATTCGCTAAATGTGCTTATGGAAGAAATTGATTATAAGCGAATCCGCGATAAGTACAAAATGTCCGGAAGTTATTTGAAAAATACTATGCGACAAAGTTACGCAAGTTTACCACAATTAGCATGAGCGACGTGTGCAAGTTGGGAGAAGATTATCAGGTAGGCAGAATAAACCAAATAAAGTGGAATGAATTTCACCCACATTAAATATACCTAGTTTAAGTGTAAGTTGGTTTAGCCCAAATGCGGTGAGGAAGTATCATGAATGCAACATCTGCCTCAGCATGGGGCACACATACATACATGGTTGGCGGCATCCGGTTTCGGATTTGCCTATATATATATATATATATATATATATATTTGAAAATTAAAAAAGCATAACACGCAAACGCACTTTTTGCACATGAATGACATACGAGCGCCAAAGGCAACAGGGTTGTTTACTAAAACGAACGGATTAAGGTCGCAGCCTTGTTAGCCGCAGGAAATGTGTAGCATATAGAAGGATTAAACAAACTATAGCAACGAGACTGGACCTAAAGGTGGTGCGACGGTTTGCGTGGCTCGATTAAGTGGTGTCCCTGGTACTCTAGGGAGCTACTCCCACCAGGTTGGTCAATGGTTTGAGGTGAGACATACTGTTCTCAGGTCCTCTAAATTTGGAGTTGGATTTGGAATGGCGTCAATTTCTATAAAACCGAATCGATGCCACCTTCTTGCTGCCATGTGGACCAGATTAGGTTGATGAACCTAAGTATACTCTTTCCTAGGTTTGGGCGCCACGGCAGTAACTCAGTCCACGTATAACTATGACTATTTCTTCAAACATCAACTACATCCTGCACCAGCCGTGGTGCAGCTTTAATAAAGTAGCCTAAGCTGATGAGCATGGGGTATTGAGCGTCCGAAAACACACAACTTCTATCGGCTTCGGCTACGGTCCCAGTGATCGCACTGACCAAGATTCACTACGATGAGTCGCGGACTGCATTGAGATTGCGTGTCACAATCCTATTACAACGTGTACTTTAAAATGGTTCGCCAAACAGTCGCCTAAGCTGCTTTACAAAACAGGGCGGATAAGCAAAGATATTATCGCTGATGCCTCCTTTCTTGCCCCAAGTTTCGCTTACTCCTCCCCGACCTCCATTACCAACTTTCTTACAATAATCCCTAGTTTAATTGACAACAGCCGAAATACCATTGGAGTTCTGCCACCTGCAGTCATCTCGCACCACCCACTGGACTCAAATTGACAACACCCCCTCTAAGAACACGCTATCCCGTTTCGCTGATGGCGTCCGAGGTTCGCACCCCAAGACAACAAGCTGCACTAGTAAGCAGGTTGGACACCCTGGGCATTGATGTGGTTTGTGAACTAACTGCACCTACCTTGTCCTCTCGCTATTCGTTACACGCATGTGAAGACGATGATGAAGCAATCACTGTTCAAGCTGGAAAGGGCATCGTTCTCAACCCCAAGGTTGAATAATTGTTGGCTATTGTGATTCCCGTCAGAAGCCGTTCGTGTGTATCCACTTTGATGAAATCAACTAAGGTTGTCATGAAGTAGCACTGGACATTTTTTGTTAATGGATGCTGCCTATGCCCCACCGACTGCGATTCTGATGCTGTCAAGGACACATTCCACCACGAACTGAATACGCCAGTACGCAGTGCTACCAGTTCAGATATCGCTGTTGTCGCAGTTGGTACGAATGCGCAAGTAGGTTGTCTGAGCACTTCAGAAGCTCCGCTAGGTTGTATGTACTTAACTCCGACGGTGAGAACAACGACAAACGTCTGTTGCAACTGTGCGGACAGTACTAGCTGTTCCTCAGTAGCATCGCTCCTAGACAGCGGGCGCCGAAGTAACCCTTTGTGTCTCCCTACAGCTGAAAACCAATGAACCCAAATAGATCAAGTTATAGATGGCTATCTTTTTTCAACGAACTTTACGGGCAGGGGTACCAAGGGCCTTGCTTGATTGGCGACTGGGAAGTTGATAAAACACAAGGTAGCGAAGAGCACTCTTTTCGATAAATCTTATTCGGCGTTCACAATTATAAAATGGAAAGTTGAAGCGCGACAAAGATTACCGAATCAAAGCGAGGCAGAAAGTGGGCTATCCTAATCGATAAATTGGTCGATCCACTCAAGCAGCGGCTACCACAGTATACGTAAGCAGACATAGATACACACACACACACACACGTTTGCTCACGAGACATAGGATGTGTTTTTCGACTGATTAGGTGACGCACTCATCACCCGGTGGTTGTCAGCATTTGAAGAGGAAACTGTTTGGAAGTGCGTTAGCCCTAGGGCAGAAGGAGCGCTTGAATAAGCGCTCTCTGCTTGCATAGTTCAGGTTGTGTAAGGCTGATCGTAATGGCTTCGGCCGTCCGTAACATTCGTTTCCTAAGCGCCTTGGGATAGCGCTTTATGTTGTACCAAAACGCTACCCCAAGGGGCTTAGGAAACGAATGTTACGGACGGCCGAAGCCATTACGATCAGCCTTACACAACCTGAACCATGCAAACAGAGAGCGCTTATTCAAGCGCTCCTTCTGCCCTAGGGCTAACGCACTTCCAAACAGTTTCCTCTTCAAATGCTGACAACCACCGGGTGATGAGTGCGTCACCTAATCAGTCGAAAAACACATCCTATGTCTCGTGAGCAAACGTGTGTGTGTGTGTGTGTATCTATGTCTGCTTACGTATACTGTGGTAGCCGCTGCTTGAGTGGATCGACCAATTTATCGATTAGGACAGCCCACTTTCTGCCTCGCTTTGATTCGGTAATCTTTGTCGCGCTTCACCAGCCTATCCCGCTTCAACTTTCCATTTTATAATTGTGAACGCCTGATGAGATTTATCGAAAAGTGTGCTCTTCGCTACCTTGTATTTTATCAATTCCATGGGTATAATTTTTGACTGGGAAGTCATCTCAGTCTTCTGTCAGCAAATCTACCAGGACGCCATGCGTACCGAACTTTCGCTCCTCATCTTATTGACACTGGGCTTCAATGCGAAGGCGTCTGCTTGTGATACTATCAATTGTCACCGCACCATGAACTGTATATATAAGGGGTCGATGAACCCGTCGGAATATACAAGAAACGTCTTGCTGACCCTAAGTAAATAGAGAGATTACTAGGCGGGAAATAAAATGGAGGATACATGATGATATGTAAGCCTGGTGGAGCAGTAGGACTTAAGAAATGGAAGAGGCAGGAGCAATAGGCAATTATGGCAAACTGTTCCAACCGATTCGCAGCAACGGTCGCAGAAAATCAAGCGTCAGTGTGACAACCAAAAAAGACCTAGCTACATACTTAGCAATAAGGAGCACCGTCTGGCGGAGCACTTTCGAGGGCAGCTCAGTTGGCCCCAAGCTACTGGATCTCTTCAGACTAACGTGGTTCACGCGAAGCTATGGGTGGTTAGTTTATAGGCTCCATCGGAGGCTGATGTCCGAAACGCGACCACAGCCCTCAGTCGTTCGCGAGCTCCTGGTCTCAATTCCCTTGCATCCGTACTGTATAAAGATGGTGGTGAGGTCCCCTGCAATGTGCAGATCCACCTGTTCAAAAACGTTTGGAAAGGAAAATCCCGGCTAAGTGAAGTGAATCAATCATAGTGGCAATATAGAGGGGGAAATGGCACCGAATGTGCTAACCACAGGGGTATTAGCTTAGGGTGGGTGGTGACAAAATTACCCGCCTCAATTCTCGTTCGTCGCCTCAATGCGGAACTAGAATCCCCGGATGTCAGGTGCAAAGCAGCATCACACGTACCGCAGACCGATAATAGCTATGTTCCTGGACTTGAAAAGTGCAGTCGATTCAGTCGACCGATCCATCCTATACGAAATACTTGCACAGAAAGTGTTCCCATGAACAATACAGGTCGCGTCAGTTAACGGTGACATGTCTGATGTGCTGTCTGTTGGAAAAGTTACTGATCTTGAAAATTCAAATGACATTGTCATGCTACTTAACGATGTTGCGGTGGCTCAATCAACCCGAAATAACCCCTCTAGAGCGGGCCTATTACTTAGCATGCTCTTCGCACCTTCAAAGTGCAGAATTGTTACTGGACCACCAATCA